ACCAAGAGCTGCTCAATATAGTGAACCTCAGCAATCAATTTGGGGATGTAGCTGCTTCTGGCAACCCTGCTGACTTCATCCCTGTGCTCCAGTACCTTCCCAGCCACACCATGCATCTCTTTAAAGACATCAACAAGCGTTTCAACTTCTTTGTGCAAAAAATTGTCCAGGAGCATTACACCAGCTTTGATAAGGTAAGATCTGGGATAGTCTAGGATGTGGGTAGAGATGCTGTTTGCCTGACAATGGGAGGAAGTGGACACTCCCTTGTCCCCCCACCTCTGCCTAGGAAAGATCCTTGGAGCTCTCCAAGCTGCAGTTAATCCCTTGGGAGCTGGCACTGGCTGGGGGAGGAGGTGTTGCCCCAGCCCTGGGTGTCTCTGATCCACTGGTTCTTCCCCAGGAGCACATCCGAGACATCACAGACTCGCTGATCGAGCACTGCCAGGATAAGAGTGCAGGAGAGGATGCCCGTGTCCCGCTCTCCAAAGCGAAGATCATCAGCATCGTAAATGACCTCTTTGGGGCAGGTGAGAACATTTCTGAGGGTAAAGCCTTGCTGCTGGGAGGCTGCAGGGGGGAAGCTGGAGCTGTTGGAGTGAGACCCTGGCTGTGCTTGGGTGTTTGGAGCAGCTGCTGGGCTCTCAGGTGCCCTCCTGAGCAGCAACCAGAGCAGATGGCTTTTCAGTGATAGCTAATGAGGGAACAGCTCCAAGGCAAATATCTAGAGTGGGATCTCTAAACCTGCTTGCCTGTCCTCTTTTGATAACTAAATGCCTTCCTTATGTCCATCCAGGCTTTGACACTGTGACAACTGCCTTATCCTGGAGCCTCATGTATGTTGCCTTGTACCCTGACATCCAGAAGAAGATCCAGGAAGAACTAGGTGAGTCCATGAACCTGTTTCCTCTGGGGCCAAAACCTCTCCAGTGAGGGCTGACCCCAGCCTGGTCCCTCCTCTCAACCTCCTGCAGACCTGACCATTGGCTGGGAGAGGAGACCGAGGCTGTCGGATCGAGGCTCGCTGCCATACATGGAAGCCTTTATCCTGGAGATGTTAAGGCATTCCTCCTTCGTGCCCTTCACCATCCCGCACAGGTATGGGCTGGAGGTATGGGCTGGAGCAGCTGACATGTTTATATGGGGGGGGGGTTTCTGGGAGGTGCCATTTAGGCAGATAATTGTCTGGGAATGAGGGTAGTTTTACTTCAAAGCCTTTGCTAGTGGAGGGGATTATACACCACTGGGATTATATTTCCCCCTGCCTTGAGGGAAACCGCAACACAACTCGTCCAGTTTCCTGAAACTGAAATCTTTTGGCTTGAGGAAAAGTGTTAACAAAGACATTTTGATCTCCCAAATACAAATTGGGGTATTTCCTAGCCAGTCCAAAGAGTACAAATAGGTCATTGAAAATGAAATCTCCTAGGACTTGCCAAGCTTTAGTCTGCACACAGCTGCAGGTCTCCTCACTTCTCTTCCCCTCCACCTGTATTTCTTTCAGTACGACAAAAGCGACATCATTGAATGGCTACTACATCCCCAGGGATACCTGCGTGTTTGTCAACCAGTGGCAAGTGAATCACGATGAGTAAGTATACCAAATCCCCTGTGCTGATCCAGGCTGCGATGGCTTCGGTTGGCATCAAGATCACTGATCCTTTAGAGCAACATGCCAAAAGGTGAATGGGTCATGAAGGCAGGAAAAGGCAGATCAGACCAAAAATCATGTGGGTTTGATGCTGAGCCTCGCCTCAGGTCTCCTGGCCATGGGGCTGTTCTGGGTTGACTTGGTCAGCAACTCCCCATCATCAGGGCTTACTCAATTGGTGTTCAATAATGTGGTGATTTCCTCAGTGCAGTGGATTTTCCGTGTATGTGTGAGGGTTGGCAGCTTGGGCTGCTGAATAAACAGGAATCAGTAGGTGCTCCTGCCAAGCAGCCCTTGTGATCCAGACTGATGGCTCTGGATGTGCTGAATGGGAACTGCCTGGTTCCCTCTCTCAGGGAGAAAAACATCCTGATGCGACTCTTGTTAAACTCGTGTTGTTATGGCTGGTAGTTGGCTTTGGTGATTGAAAAGTGATCTGGAGACCAAACCCCCATCTTACCCCTCCACTGCTCTCCAGTAGAGACCCTCCTGGGAGGAGAATATTGACTAAAGCTTGACATAAAAGGTGGTTCCCTGACCAGGTATTTTGGATCAGAAGCTGAAGAGTTTTGTGTCCAAATAGCCCAGCAGCACAAAAGTATTACAACCCACTCCTCTATACACGCTGGTGAGCATTGCAATGGGAATGCTGTCCTTAGGGCCAGAGAGGATTCCCCATATCCAAGCCAAAATTCTCAGCTAAGGCACTGGAAAATCCCACGTGGCACGTCTCAGAACCCAGGCTGGGACAGGTTGGGAAGTTTTCCTAGGTGGATTCAGGCTAGGAGAACCCTCAGGTCTCCATTCTTCCTTTTTAAAAGGTACTGACCGATTCCTGTGCACAGATTTTTTCCTTTCAGCTGACCCTGCAGGACCTCTAGATAATACAAGAATTAAACCATTCCCCAGTATCTGCACAGGCAAACACAGTCTGAATTTGAAACGGAGGTTTCAATAGCCTGAGCTGCTGGGGTCTGACATGCAGTTGTCATTTGAGATCAGGGATAGGGGTCACCAAAGCTTTTGGATGGTGAAATGAAAAAGTATTGCAATGCTTGTCTCTGCAAGGAGTTTTTGACTGCTGTTGCCATCACAGTGGGTGAAAATGGCTTTCTCAGGTGTCTCTTTCTGCTCCAGGAAGCTTTGGAAAGACCCCTCAACCTTTAACCCCGAGCGGTTCCTCAACGCTGCGGGGACCGAAATAAGCAGGACTGAGAGCGACAAAGTGATGGCTTTTGGCTTGGGGAAGAGGCGGTGCATCGGGGAGTCCATCGGCCGGTGGGAAGTCTTCCTTTTCTTGGCCACCATGCTGCAGCAGCTGGAGTTCAGCCTCCGCCCTGGGGAGGAGGTGGACATCACCCCTCAGTACGGACTGACAATGAAATACAAGAAATGTGAGAGTTTCCAGATTAAGAAGCGTCTCCCCACAACAAGCTCCCCATAAGCTGTGGGAGGAAGCATCACTTTGCATAAGAAAGCCAGCCCTTGGAGTTGGACACCGCTTGCTTTTGCTAACGCTCTCTAGAAGCCAGCACAGCCCCTCGTCGTGTGGCTTCATGGAAGGCTGGTTCATCTCTGTAAATGCAAGTGGGGAGGGATAAAGCCAGCTTTGCTGGTCTCCTCGCAGCCCCCCAGCCAGCTCCGTTGCCCTTGCCTGCAGGAAAGCTCACCAGAGAGCCTAGGTGCTCATCTGTCTTGGGGAGATCCAGGGGGACCCCAGCCCTGCAGTGGGGAGGAGGAGGCTTTGGGCTGGAAGAAGTGGTGTGGGATGTCAGGAAGGGATATCCTTGCCCTACCCAGGCACCGCAAGCAGAGCCAGGGCTGCTGTGGGCAACTCCCTTCATCCACCAAATAGGAATAACCCAAGAAACCTGGCCAGCCTCTTCCCATGGGGTGAGAGTCTTTCAAGCTTGTTTGGCAGAGCTGTTTGCAAAACCTTCAGCTCCTTGTGCCGATGGGAACGGGCTTTCCCTGCTGCTCCACCTGCCTGCTCAAGAGCTCTTGAGGTGATGCAGAGGCCAGACCTACCCCTGTGCCAGCACCCATCCCCAGCACACACTTGCACAGCTGAATTCCCTGAACATAAATTCATGAAATGAATCCTGAGTGTTTTTACCAATCCTTAGGGACAGCCTACTAGAGGGGAGAAAAAAATTCCCTAAGTAGTGCTGCTCATAAATTGACATATTAGCTAAACTCCTACCAGGAAGCCTCTTGGAAAATACCAAAGGACTGAGTATAAGGGACAAGAAGCAGTAAAAGGCACAGCAGAACACTTCTGACTTTCAGACTATCTATTTGCTGCTTGTTTTAACTGGTTTTGGGTTTTGTGTTTTTTGTTTTGTTTGGGGTTTTTTTCCTAGCAAGCCAATAGATTTTTATATTCAGACTAGTGAAAGGAGCAAGGGTTTGAGGACAGCAGGAGATGTCTCAGCCTTATGTTGCAGTCAGCTTTAGCCAGCATGAAGGTGAATTCTGATGGGAAAAAGAGCAGTGATTCCTGCTTGTTTGTACCTGTGTGGAATGCAGCCGTATGCTGGGATATAAACTGCACAGTATTTCTAACCCAATAAATACTTATGTGAAAGTTTTTTGCTGGTTTTATTCCACTGGGAAAATATTTTTTGATGGGGTGGGCAACCTACGCTTTTTTTTCATCCTTAAAATCTGACTTGGATATGTTGGATCTGTACTTTTCCTATGGGGACATGAGATGGTTGTTCCTTTACTGTGGGGGCTGTGACACAAGTGGCATTAGGGGGAGATTTTAGTCCTCATGGGTGCTGGCTCTCGTCCCCCCCTTGTGTATATACAGAAGCTAAATCCGTGGCTGTGATTTGTGGAGAGGTGATGCCAAGCTCTGTTCAGAATTTCACTACAAATCAGGAATAGCCCTTCTATCCCTGAAAAAAAATTAATCAATTAGCTTCAAAACAGCCTTTCACAGTCCTCAGGGAGGCAATCCACAGAGGGATGCTTTGAGCTATTGCCTGCTCCACTCTTCCCCATCTTAGAGCACATTTTTTTCCCAGGCTTTACATAAAAAAAAAAGGCAATAAACATTAAATTGTCATGCAAATAATAAGAGGGTATATGGAAAATTTGGGTCTGTGCATATCTGGAGTGGCATCCCTGCAGGGACCATCTCTCCAGCTTTTCCAGCTTGGTGGGGTAGGAAACTGCTCTTGCCTCATTGTTGTAAATGTTTGGGTAAACAATCCCACTTTTGGGACAATACCATGTGTACATTTGCATGAGCACAAAGCCCATGAAGAGGGTTAGGAGTATCAGGAGTCTTGGCAAAATTCAGTCTTCTACTGAAAATTGTGCTCCTCCTCAGATCCCTGCCCTGGGGTGCTCTGTGGTGTGAGCTACTCTCCCCCACACAGGGACAAAATCAAAATAAGTGCAGAAATGTTAACATTTGACTCCATCCATTACAGGTACATAAAGGACAGCTGAATAATTCAGCGGCTTTTTAAATCTATTGTACCATGGAGGTATTTTTAATTTTGTGGCTGTGCTGCGGGAAGGCTGCTCTCTGGAAGAGAGGCCTTCCTCCTGCCATGACTTCGCTCACCTTTACATCGTTACTGACTGATATCAGAATGATTTTGTGTTTAATTAGCATCCCTGGCACAGCCTGTCATTTAGCTCAGGAAGATCAGACAGTGCCTGAGTCCAGCACCCCACCCGCTCCTTCCTCTAAGTAACGAGAGAAAGAGCCTAGGGTTTTGTAGGGGAGAAAAGCTGATTTTAATGGAGCTGAGGAGAAAGTGGGAGATGAATGCAGCTCTGCTTCTGCCAGTGAGTCGGGGCGAAGTGGTAAGGGTGATGGAGGATATTGACCAGTTGGAGTGAGTCCAGAGGAGGCCACAAAGATGCTCAGAAGGCTGGAGCACCTCTCCTGTGGTGAAAGGCTGCGAGAATTGGGCTTGTTCAGCCTGGAGACGAGAAGGCTCCAGGGAGACTTTATTGCAGCTTTCCAGTGCCTGAAGGGGCTACAAGGAAGCTGGGGGGGGCTTTTTACAAGGGCCTGTAGTGACAGGACAAGGGGTGACGAGTTTAAACTAGAAGTGGGGAGGTTTAGATTGGATATCAGGAAGAAATTCTTCCCATAGAGGGTGGGGAGGCACTGGGACAGGTTGCCCAGAGAAGCTGTGGATGCCCCATCCCTGGAAGGGTTCAAGGCCAGGCTGGATGAGGCTTGGAGCAACCTGGTCTAGTGGAAGGTGTCCCTGCCCATGGCAGGGGGGTTGGAACTGGATGGTCTTTAAGGTCCCTTCCAACCCAAAGCAGTCTGAGATTCTATGATTCTATGAGGTATGAAGGAAGTGGTGGAGGTGTGATGGAGCTGCGATTGAGGTGCGACAAAGGTGATGGAAGAGTGATGGAGGTGATGGTGGTGAGGTGGAGGTGACAGAGCTCGCCCAGGGGAGGCAGGTGTGGCAGAGGCGATGGAGAACGTGACAGGGGACGTGTAGCAGCAGCAGCGACACGGATGTGATAGAGGTGATGACGGTGGGATGGAGGGGTGACAGAAGTCACAGAGGCAGTGGGGATGTGACAGACACCGCAGTTGATTCAGGACACGGCGCCAGAGCCACACGACGGCGGAGCCTGCGGTAACGGACCTGCACCCCCGGGACCGCGCGTGCGCGTACGGCGCATGTGCCCAGCCGCGCTTGGCGGTGCACGGCACTCCGTGTGTCCGCCGCGCATGCGTAGAGCGCCGC